CCACAGACCTCCTTCCCCTTCCAATGCATTTCACATTTTTCAACCTCAGAAGTGCATATATCTCTATTTACTCTTTTTCTTTGATTCTAAACCTTCCAGGACATTTTTCTCTAGAGCTGATTCTTTTCATGTTTGGAAATTACAGCCTCCCCTGGCAGACAAGGAAACGCTCCCATGTACAGAGGAAGGAATAGGCCCCTGAGAGGAGGCAGCTGCTTGAACAAGATCAAAGGCAGAAAGTGACCCCAGAACGTTTGTCTCCTCTCTTGGGCAGAACAACACAAGATGATCTTCCCTCATATACAGTCATTTCTCACAGCCTTATTGGCTCCAGCAGCCTCCTAGAAGCAGTGATGCCAGCCAGAAGAGAAAAGCAAGCGGGATTTGGCTCAGGGTGGGGATCCTGCAGCAGCCCAAGGTCAACTTTGAACATTCCATGAACATGTGGCCAGCCAAAAACCTCAACAGTCCCTCTGCATTGTGCGTCCTGCTGCCTCTGCTACAGGCACATGATGTCTATAACCTCAGAGCTATGATCAGCCTAAGCTCCTTCTTCTTGTTTGTGCATTGTGGTGGGCTTCTTGCATGGTGCAGAGAAACCAGACAGAGTTTGGGAAACTAGTTCTGGATGTATTGATATCAAACAGTTGCAGTGCCAGAGCACTCCATAAATCAGTGTGGCATCAAGCAGAGCACAGGCAGGCATCAGAGAGAGCTGAAAAGCTTCTCGTTACATTCAAACTGCCTGTTCCCAGAATTCAGTGCTTCCATGGAAGCCTGGGAACCTGAGGAGAGACCCAAAACCACAGAAACTAAATAATGCAACATCCTTTCCAGACACCTTGTGGGAATGATAATGCAGAAGTTGGGATCCAGAGACTAAAGGGCACCTGCTTTGCCTCGGTGGCATCATCACTGCAGCTGCAGGACGTGTGTGAGTCCTTAGAAGCAGGTGAGGCTTGGGGAAATGCACAGAGCTGTACCATAGAGCTATACCATAGAGCATCCATACCAACAGCAGAGAAGGCAAAGACACACAGCAGATGACAGGTTTTTCCTCATCAGCCTGAGGAATTCACAGGAATCTCTGGTTTTCCCAGCTTCCCTACAGCACTGGTGTTCAGACATCACCGTGCATTGGAGGATCCTCAAAAACCTCCCTTGACAGTGTGCACAGAAACTGGCATTTCTCCCCAGGTGGCCCCAGTCCCCCTCAGCAGTGCAGCTGTAGCTGCAATTCTACTTTAAGGAAGTTAAAAACTAGTCTCATCTCTAAAAACATCCTCACTTACTTTACAAAGTGCCTCAGAAGGGTAAAGAGGGCTGTTAACACAAGCACACACCCCCCCATGAGCTCTCTCACTGAGCCATGCAGTAAATGCCAGGATGCAATCCAGAGACTTACCTTCTCCACACAGAAAGTGATTGCTCTGGATGATATTTGCACCGTGGGAGAAATGAACTTGCAGGTGACCTTTGTCTTGATTATCTCTTTCTTTGTTATCTCTGGCCCCACGGCTGCCTCACACACCAGCTTCTCCTCCACTTCCTGCATGCAAGAGTCACTTGTCACCAGTGGTGCTGGCAGGGTGTCCAGCAAATGCCCTGCGTTGGCTCCTTACCCCCCACGGGCCACAAAGTTACAGACACTGCCCCCTTTTCTTCCTGTGCTGCTGCAGCCTATTTCTTCTGCGCTCCAATGGCCCTAACTGCACCCCAACAGCCACAAAAGGCACTTGTGAGACACTTCCTCCCTTCACAGGGCTTCTCTTTTACCCCCTGCTTACCCTAGAGAAACCACCTGACACTTGTTTAATTCACTTTCTGCTTGGGCTCCTGCTTTAAGTGTAACCTATTTTCTCTGCCCTTCCTTTGTGCCTCAGCAGGTGACACTCCTGTTTGCCCCGACAGAGCAATACTTCCTTCAGCCCGTATTTTGGGATCAGCATTGCGGTTTGGTAGCTATGGAATCACAAAAAAGCCTTAGCAACTGATGGTGACCAGCAAAGAAAGCCACCAGTGCTGCCATGGAAACCTGCAGCCTTAAACACTGTCTTGAAGGCCCTTGCTCATTTTCCCAGGCAAATGTCAAGGGGCTGCAGGAGAAGCCCCACTGGAGGGGACTTGATGGGGAAGGCTCGGCCCTCGGCAGGGATCTCACCTGGACAGTGCTGGAGAAGCCTTCCAGCATCAGCTCCATAGTCTCGCCTGGCTGCAGATACATCCCCCGTGGCTGCAGCTTAAATACGGGGGGGGTGGGTCTCTGGGAAGCGTTTCTGCCCTTGGTGACACTGAGGGCAGGGAGAGGATGACGCTGTCGAAAGGTGCCCCAGTACAGCCGCTGGAACTGCTGCCCCTTGTTTGTCACGTTGAACCGGAAAATGCAGGGAACGAGGCTGGAGGAGAAGCAGAGATGGAAAAGGTCATGGGAGCTGCTATTTCCCTGCAGTCAAGTGCTCTCAGCAAGCAATCTGAGATGTTAACAGCTTGGAGACCGTCCTCGTTTCCCGCTCTTAACGTGGACCAGAAATAATGTCTGATGCCTTTCTGATGTTGTTGTTGCAAAGAGAAATCGGTTTATACTGATAATGTAGTATTTCCACAGCTTCCCTCACCACAAGGGACTTCCTTCATCACCGTGGGCTTTTTCCCTCACCATTCTGGGCTTCCCCTAATGGATCCAGACTGAAACCATCACTTTGAGAACACTTCACCTCCAAGAAGGCCACAAGAAGAGAATCAATGGGATGTCAATGGAATCCATGCAGAGGTGATATTTTCTCTACTTAATCTGTCCCTTTGTCATTCTCTTTGTCTCCCCCTTTCTCTCTTTTCCCCATTTCTCTCTGTCTCTCTCTACCTCACATTTACTGTTAAATAAAAATCCGTACTACTGACTTTGGAATATGGTCTCATTTGCCCCTTAATTCGGGCAGAGGCGTCTCTCTAATAATTTAAGGAACCTGAGCATAACAACATGTTTCTAAAGGAAGCTCTGGCTTCAGGGAAACAGAGCCAGGGCCTGGAGCACTGTAGAAGATTTAGCCTGAAAGCCTACAGCATAACTGCTCCTTGCTGAGCCAAGAGGAGAAGTAGGAGTTAAGAGATCTCTTACTTGAACTGGGGTTCCAAATTCAGCTCCGGAGCAAACGGTTTGTCAATGGCAATTGTGGTGCCAGTGCCCACAGCCTGGATGGGGATGACACTGGTAAGGCTGTTCTCAACAAACAGCTTCATGCTGTCCTCAAATCTCCCTGTGTCACCCAGGTTTGCCATGACAACCACAGGAACCTCAGCCTTGGCAGGGACCACTCCTTCCCTGGGTTCAATACTCCAGCATTTGCCACCCTGTAAGACAAGCCAAACATGCATTTAGGGTGGAAACCATGGACCCTGGTGACTTGTGGGGTGTGAGAAAAGGAACGACTACAGAGAGGAGGATAAAAATTGTAAAGCCTTCATTTCCCTAAATCTAAGCTACTGTGTCTGGGCAAGAGCAGAGCTTATACAACCTGTATTTTACCCTCTTTTAATCCATTTTAACAGACTTTTAAGTTTTGCCCAACCCAAGGGATGCTCCTCCTCAGGAGAAGGTTATTCCCCCTCCAATCTTTTCTTGGAGTGTATGCCAAGGGAAGCTACTTTCTCTCTCCTGGCTTCCCCACAACAGAGCTGGGTTTTCACAAAGGCTCAAGGCTACAGAAAGCCACGGCTGCTCAAATCCCACCACAGCAGCCACACAGCTGGAGGATACCACTGAGAGCCTGAAGACTAACTCTGCAAAACCGCTTGAGCAAAAGCCCAGCACCAAAGTCCTTGCCCCTGAAGGACCAAAGCCCTGGCTTCCCACTGATCATCAGCTGCCAAGAGGTGCCCCAGAGCCCTCTGCTTTGGAAAAGTCAGCTCTAAATGGTTATAGCAGGGCAGGAAAACAGGAAGCAGAAAGAAAACTGCTCTGTGGGCATGGCCCAGCCTTCCCAAGCACTCTGGTCCTCTGCTTTCTCATGGACGGGGTGGGGTAAGAAAGCTGTAAGCTGCCCTGGGGAGGGAGGCAAGGCCTTCCACTGGGACAGCTGTACAGACAGGGCTCGGCAGGTCCCGGCCTGGTATGAGCATGCAAAAACTATCATTTACATGCCAGCACCACCCATCTGAGGTGGCTTGCTCTCTGCAGGGGTGGAGAGCAGAATTTCATTGTGGAGTTGAAGAAAGCTGCCCTGGAAATCCCTCACTTGGAGGTTACATTTACTCCTCAGATACCTGGGAAAGTAGCAAGTGGAAAACTCACCCTCCTCCTCCTTGGCCCAGGAGACTGAGCCTGGACTCTCCCCCACCGCCTGATGCTTTATCCACAGACACAACCATGCCCACCGTGTCGGGGCTGCTTTCAACCAGCTCCAGCAGCCCAGCCCACTCAGCATGAAGGAGAACAAACTTCCTCAGCATGGAGGAGAACAAACCTCCTCCCAAGCCTGTTTCCAAGCCCCTCACAGACACCTCTGCAGCAGGGAGCACATGCCAGCCAGCCCAGCCCTGCTGGCTGCACCAGTTCTGCTGCACCAGCTCAGCTTCTCCTGCCAGGGGAGCAGCCCCAGCTCCTTCTGCCCTGTGCAGCCTCCACGAATTAAAGAGCCTTTCTTTGCAGCTGCTCTCCAGATACTCTGGAACGCTATGGAGGCCACAGGCTCCAGGGGTGCACAACCTCCGCAGCTGTATCTGTGTGCAACAGCCCGGCTGCTCTGACCCCCAGGAGGGGGAAACTCCTCTCCCCACCCAGAGCTTGAGGACAGACCTCACGCCCTGGTCTCTACCATTAACAGCACTTTGGCACAAAGCAAATGTAGATGGTATGAGGAAACTATGGGGAAATCCTTGCCCTCTCAGGAGCAAAGGGCCACAGGCTTCTCTTCATCTCAGAGCTCCAAAAACGTGACTTGCACTGCTAAATACCTTCCACAAAATAAAGGGAGAACTTGTAACCACAATCCAGACTCGCTTCTGCCCCTACAACTCTGCAAACTATTTCACTGAAGGTTGTCCCAGCTAAAACCACCTGCAGAGCCAGGCTCCTCTTGCCTCGGATGGAATCTCTTGTCTCCTCTCTCCCACAGAGCGATATAGAAACCTTACATATAAAATCCAAGTTCTGGGCTGCTGCTGACCAGGGAGTTTCCCTGGAAAATGGTCCCACAGACACTTACGATCTCTGCTCTGAAGGCTGCAGGGATGAGACCCAGATTGCACAGCTGGAGAGTTTGGGAAGTGTTCTGTATCACTTGGATCTTGCCGAAGTTTATCTTATTCACACTTGCATAGACAAGCGGTGTCTTTCCAGTACACATTAAATGCATTTGCTGTTTCAGGGAGCAGGTAAGAGAGATTTAAAAAAAACAAACCCACACAACAGGGAAAGTTAAGAAAGCTTAAACAGCTCAGTCGCACTCAAGTCACTTCTCTAGGGACAGATGTGATGCTCCAGATAAAATGCTGGCCTTTTAGGCAAACCTTTGACATATTCCCCTCCCAATTAAAAAAGATTAAAGTCTGGGAAATGTTCAAACTGTAAACTGTTGGCCCAAAGGTAAAAGCTTTGCAAGAAATCTGTAGTTAAAAACAGTCTGACAGTTAAACAGCTGGTTACTCTGGTGGGAAGAAACCCTGCTCTTTAAGGGAAGCAGCCTGATAGTTATGAGCAAGCGTTTTGTTAAAAGTCAGGCTCCCCTGCACAGCCTGCACTGCCTTGCCTTCCTGTTGACTGGTTTACATGCACAATGGCAATGGCCCGGCTTGAGATGTTTGGTGCCATCCAGGGGATTTGGCATCATCATTTCCATTTGTTTGAATATAAATTTAATTCCCTGCAACCACTTTTCAAACATCAGCCTTCCCTTCTGACACAGAAAGCTGAAGATTCCCAGAAATCCTCCTTTTGTGTTCAGAGAGATGACATTTTAAAAGAGATGTTTCCACAGTTGCCAGCATTTTAAATGGAAGATTAATTAAATAAAATAATCCCCAATTTCAGCTTAGATGAACTATATGCTGAGATTACTCCCTAGGAGGACTCCACTCTTCCTCTTTTTGCAGCATAAACTGCTTATGCCACCAATGCATTCTGTCCTTGTCCACACCAGCCATATATGACAAGTCCCTGCTTTCCCTGGAAGAATCCCTGTGCACTCCACCCCCCCCCAGGATGAGCTGCACAAAGGCACACATCTCCCCTCGCACTCACCAGTGGGGATCTCTCCTTCCCGAACACAGCGATATCCACCGGGATGGAATGAGCACCCACCGCCTGGACTTCAACTGTAATGGGGATCTCCACCACATTGTGACCCTGGATAATCCCACACGGCTTGGGGCTGGAGTACCACAGAGCAGCGGCCTCTTGGTGTCTCTAGAGGGACAGAATCAAGTGCAACTTCAGAGGCACCTTTAAACTCCTTAACATCTACCACAATGGCAACTCACACACGTTTTTTAAAAATCCCCAGGAAAAAGCTGAAAGGCACAAAAAAAGATGCAAGAATTGTTGGGGCTTAGTATCCTCAGGGGGTCCAACAGCTGCTGCATCCACAGACACCCACTCCTGTGCTGGCAGCCTCCTTGCAACAGCTTTTCACAACCTTCTAAGAGCTCTCACAAGAAAACACCCCAAACACTAGAATATAAACTGCTTCCTGAAGAGGTTAAAATGATTCCTGAAGTTGATATTCAGGTAGGTTCCTATTTAACCGCTTTCTAAAGTTTACATTCAGGTAGAATCCTGTTCTCAGCACATCTTTAAGTCTGAATAGAAACCAGCAAGGTCTTATCCAAACCCCATTTGTCCGTAATAAACCCCTCAGTAGTATTTGAGAGGAGGAGGTGGATGAGATGCCAAACCTGAGGGAGAACTCTGTAGCATCCTGGAAGGGGGCTCGGGTTCACAAGGATCAGCATCTTCTGGCAAGGGACCTTTGCAGAGCACGGTCCACAGTCGAGGGTGGAGGTGAGCAAACGCAGCTCAGGAACGACACATCTGGGCAAAGAGATGACCCCAAAGGAATGAGAGATACTGAGAGAATGGAGAGCGTTCACCCCGCAGAGCATGGAATGGAGCATAAGACATTTTTCACTGTCCAACAGACGTTTAATACCTCTACAGAGATAAATCACTTGTCACGTCTTTCCACTCAAACACGTCTTGTCAAGGAGGGGCAAACCCTTAGACTCAGCACTGCAGAGGCTGCCAAGTGCCCGGGCAGAGCACGGGCCTTGTCCCACAGCTGCCTCAGCCCCTCCTTTGCCCAAGGAGGCTTGCAAGGACTCCCCCAACAGGCCCAGTGAGCCGTGAGCTCTGGAGGAGCCTTCCCATTGAGGGTCAGTGCTCGCCAAGGCTCAAGGAAAAACAACTCCCTTCTCTCCCAGGGTGCTGTTGCCCTGCCAGAAAACTCAGCCGTTTGCCTAGTGCTGAGGGCACGAGCCACCACCTGCCCTAGGGAGTGGGTGATCATCCTCCCAGTTCCTACAGCTCCCTTGCTGCTGCACCCCACAGGTCCCAGGTCTGTCCCCACTGGCACTTGCGTTACAAAACTGCAGCCCAGGCACTGACTGGACGGCTCTGCCTGGGAGAGGGAACGGCACCAGGGAACTGCATCCCTCTTGTCATTAAACTGACACCCATGGCAGCACCACAGGAGGGAATTTGGCTGCAGCAACAACAACATCTGCGTTAAGTCTGAGAACTGAGAACGTTAATGCTCAGAAGAGCCAGAGGGAAGCAGGGAAACCTGAGCCCACCTGCCACATCAAGGACTACTTTCCCCTCCCACTCCTGCTGTGAGCCCCTTTTCCATTTCCATGTGCCCCGGTTAACTGAGCCAGACCCCAGCTCTCAGCAGACTGCTCACTGTGTCCCAAACCAATGCTGCAGTGTGGTTGGAACCCAGCACAAGCCCACCTCTTGCAGAAAGGACAGGAGGACCTTGGGGAATTTTTTACACCTCAAGCAGCAAAAGCCAGGCCAATAAATAATGTCATTCCTGTTCCCCATAGAAAAAGGCCCAGGGCCATGCCTGGCTGTGAGCAGGGGTGCTTCTCACCACGGGCTGCTTTCCAAGCACTGCTCTTCCCCTACCTAGCTGGGCAGAACCAGCTTATTAAGCAAGCTTTCTCCTGGAGCTGCAGCCAGCAAACCCCGAGCAAGGCACTGTGCTGGTGGTGGGTGCACGGGGAAGGACGAGCAGCTGCAAGGAGAGCACTGGTACCTGGCTTTGAGGCGCAGAGCCAACACCTCCTTGCCAAAACCATCCACGTCCACCACCATATCATAGTCGTATCGTCCCACATCATTGGAACACAGCGTGACCTGGTGGAAGAGAAGAGCAGCAAATACTTCCCTTCTCCCGAAAGCTCATTACCCACGTGTGGTCTCCTTCAGTTCTTGTTTCGCAGTAAGGGAAGGGAGGATTTGGCCTTAATTCTTCTGCTGGCCCATGCCTAGAGCACAGTCTCTGGGAGTAACATAAGCCTTCTGGCAATACTGAATTTGTTAAACACACCTTGCAGCTGTCAGGGCAGAGGTGGCTAAATTAAAGCATTATACATAATCATGTATAATGAGACTAAAGCTCTACTCACTACTGTCTTCAAATTAGGGGCCCATTTTTCATTTGACTACAATAACGTAATGCAAAGGAAATGTGTTGACTTGGACAGAATGAGTTCAGCTTTTCAGCACGAAGCTGAGGGCAAGGTGTGCTCCTGCAGATGCTGGGCAGTTCATGGTTGCCGAGTTTTTTCTTTCCTTACTGAGGATCCCTGCAGTGACCACAACTCATTCTGCTCCCCAGGAGAGGAGAAATGAGACCAGGAAGAAAAGCAAACTACTTTATACAGTGGCATCTCTCTAACAGCCACCTTCTGTCCTCATCCTTCCTCTGCCTGTTCTCAGTCAAAGAAGTCACGCTCAAAACCAACACACGAATGGCTTCTGTTGACCATGTGATCTCAGCTTATGGTTTTGGAGACAAAATGGTGCTCCTTCAGGAACATTCCACGTAACCCACCTCCCACACCACTGCAGATCCCTCCCTTGCACACGCCGAGAGCCAGCAGCACTAAAGCCCTCCCGCAGCCCAGTGAGGCTTCAGCCCCACCTACTGACTCCTCCCATACCCTGATCTCCTGGGATCCCTGGGAAGGGATGGTCGCTGTGCTGGGTCTTATGGTGAATTCCACTGGCTTCTCGTGACATGGAGCCAATGTGCCTTTTTCCCAGGAGGGGTGAGCGTTGTCTTTCACTTGATCAAAGCTCCTAAGGCTGGGCTGTCCCTGGCCGTCCTCAGGAATGCGAAGGTGGAAGGTGATGGGCACCACGGAGGTGTTGATCAGGCGGCACGACAAGGTCTGAGGAAAGCCTAGGAAAATGACACAAATGACCATGTAGGCACCAAGCACCTCGTGATTTCTGGTGTGAATATCCTGGTAAGATGAAACTGTACAGCTCATTGAGCAGCTCAGCGAGCAATTAATCATCACTTGGACACTGATCCCAGGTTGCTGCCTTGGAAATGCCCACTCTTAGCCCTGCTGAACACCACAAGTTTCTATCTCTCTAACTGCTCCAAACCAGCATCATCAATTATTTCCACACACTGATGAGTGTGCATCCAGACTGACCATTTACTCTGAAAATTCAAGCCATAAAATTCCCTGTTAACACTGCCAACACTCTCACCATTTTCAAGATATAAAAGCACTGAGTTGTCATTGAGGAAAAACTACAGCAAGAGAAAGGGAGGATGGAACAGGGAACTGGAACATGATGCAAAGCACCCCAATGCAGTTTCTTTAGGCAGGATCCTTAAGGTACCTCCTGGCTTGAGGCAACCAGACTGAGCACGTACAACTCACAGCCCACTTCACTGGAGGCAAACCTGAGGCTTGCTCTGAGATCAGTGATTAGGAACCATGTCTCACCTTTGCAAATGAGGACATCACAGCCACACTGCACACTGGCTGGGATTGCTCCCCACAAGAGGTGACACCACTTTGGCTCTGAGACTTGCTTCCCGTAACGGAAAGCCAGGGATACAGCCACACCTGGTGGGGATGTCCTGCAGAGCCAGGACACCAGCCCACAGCCTGCTCTGCAGAGGACATGTGACTTGGCTGGCCAGCTCTATGGGGAAGAGACATCTCCCAGGGCCTGCTTACCAAGCGTCATTTGAACCCAGATGGGGAGGAAAACCAACTGCAGGCACAGCAGGGAGCTTCTCCGTACCCATCAACAGTGACCACTGCCCAGCTCCAGCAGTGGCTCCAGCAGGGAGGCAGGAGGGGCACAAAAAGGACAAACACAGGTGTCCCAGTCTGGAATGAGACCAAGGTCACCAGATGCAGACAACAGTCAGCAGCACGGTTAAAAGAAGCAAAGATACAACAGCTGCCTTCAGCTGAAGAGGTCTTAGGAATGAAATCAGAGTAAACAGGATGAATCTCCTATAAGAGAACCATATTTGTGCCCGCTGCCTTTCCTGTTGTTTCATTTATTCAAAAGAAAACTAAGAAAGGGCTCAGGAGTGATACAGGGAGGGGAGGAAGCAGCTCAGGAAAGGTAATGAGTTTTCTTGAAAAGTCCATGAACTGCATGAAAACACAGAGGCATCCTGGGTGCAGAATGATAATGGCCCTTCAGTCAATCCACGACTGATTTCACATTTAAACTGTAGATCATCTCGGTAGAAAGCCTTTTGTGAGCCTGAGATGGAGAACCAGAACCTGCATTCCAATGGTGACACTCTGGATGTTCAGCCAAAAGCTCTGTCAGCAGAGTTGGGCCTCTGCTGGGGAAGAAGAAGAAGCCCACGGCTCTGAGGACACAGGTGCCTGAGGCAGAGCTATTGCTGGGGCATCTGACCTGCTCAGGGATAATGAGGTGCCCTCACACCACTAATTAACATCCCACACTAAAAGTACATGGCTTAAGCTTCCTTCTCCTGCAGTCCTATCCCCTGGGCCCTCCTGGGACGAGGACTTTTACGGTCATTCTGCTGGCAAGGACTGGGAGATTGGAGCAGAAGAGACTACGAGGGACACCAGAAAATACTGACTTTCTATTCCTTTGGTCCTTTCGGATCTCACGATGGCAAAATGCCACCAGCAACCCTGGAGTTAACACCCTGCAGGCTGCCATGGAAGGACACAAGTGACAGATGCTCTTCTGTTCAAGTGCTCCATTTTGGCAAGGCACAGATCCCTCCTGCTGTGTCCAAGCCCAGGGAACACTCACCAAAGGAGACGTCATTGAAGTCAAGGCCACCTGTGCTGAAATGCAGGCTCAGTCCGGTGACGTGGCCCCTGTGAGGACGAGGACAGAGGAGGCAACGGCTTGGTTAAAGGGAACTGCAAAGCCTTCAGCTGTTCTTCCAGCTCAAGTGGGTCAAAGCTGGTGTCAGAGCCCCGTGGGTGTCGAACCAGCCCCGCACCCTGTGCTCAGCACGGCGTCCGTGGGCACAGGAGGTGGCCAACAGCTGCTGATGGGGCTTAGGGCACCACAGCAGGCAGGGCATGCCCCCGAGGTGCTGCTGGCCCCATGGAGGACTCTGTACACACACCCAGAGATGGCTCTGTGCCCTTGCCTTAGGAGAAAGACTGACTCACTACTTTTCTCTTGCAAAGTAATAACCTTTTTGTTATGTTTTATCCATTTCCCTGTGGAGAGTTTTACAGAAACATGGTTGATAGAAAGAGGACATGAGAGAGATGCTATAGCTCTGGTCCCACGGTAAAAGAAAACTATTAGAAGGTCACTGTGTCTGAGAAACTGTATACGTGACAGAAGAGTAATATAAGCGGATGGGAAAGCAGAGCAAATAGCAAACAAGTAACCATCAGAATGTGAAAGAAACAGCATTTGCGCAAATATAACTTAGGTAATTAGAAGCCAATGATGAGCTTAGCTTTTGTAATATGTATGAGGCTGATTAGTAACCTTTATAAGCACAGAGCCTGCAGCAATAAAGTTGGATAAGTTATTGATCAATTTTGTGGTCTAAAAGTGTCTTTATCCCGTCGTCTACAACATTTCCCTTATGTTCTTGGTAAAATGGACTGCAGATTCCTTTTGTTTCTTTACTACCTTGATTCAGTGCCTCCCAACAGCAGCCCAGACACAGCCACCTCCAAAGCTCCAGAGCTCCCAGCATCAGCTTTCCTGCGTGCACCACATTACCCCACCAGCCCGTGGTTCAGACTAGCTGGGACAAGCCCTCGTGCTGCTGTGGTGCTGAGAAGGGAGCTTTGCCTCTCCTTCATCACCCCTTCTCCCCTTGGCTGGGCGAGGATTATCTTTTGCAATGGCACCAGCCCATGGGAGGATGCCCAAGTCCTTGTGACAGTCCCTGCTGCTGCAGAGCTCCCCATCTCCCACCCCAGTCCCTTCCTGCTGTGGAAAGGAGGCCCCAGAGCACTCCCTGCACAGGAGCCTGGAGCACAGCCTGTGCCTGTGCCTGGGCACGAGGGATGATGTGAGGCTGCTGCTGCCCCTTTGGCACAGATCATTAACAGAGGACTTTAGAACCACTTCTTCTGGCTGCAGAATCACCCAGGCTGGCCCATCTCCAAAGCCCTGGGGCCCTTGCTGGGTGTTCAGAGGGGACATCCCAGACCAGCAGCTGCCCAAAGCTGATGCTTTCCCACTGCCTGCCATGGCCAAGGCGGAGGGAGGTCCCTGCAGGAAGGAGTCACTCCAGGGTACCTGCACTGGGCAGAAGGCATCCCCACACTGAGGGGATGCCAACATCAGAGCCAAGACTAAGACCTCAGGCAACACCTTTTTTCTCTGCTCCACCACCAAATGAGGCAGGTGAGAGATGATTACCCAGAGACAGCTACAGACGTGCCCACCAAGCTCCCAGAGCCCTCCTCACCTGATAGTCAAGGTCACAGGCTTAGGGGATTCTGTCACGTTGAAATGGAATTCTACCTCGAACTCCCCCAGGGTGCTGGAACTGAAGGAGATCTGGATGGGCTGGAGCCCACTGGGTGGAATGATGCCCTGCTGGGGCCGAAAGGTGAACCAGGAGCCGTGGGCTGTGGTTGGAGGGATGAGCTCAAAGGGAGCATCAATAGCTCCTTTGTTAACCAACATTGCCTGCAGCAGCAAGAAAGCAAAATGGAAATACATGAGCAATCTTCCTTTCTTGCAGAAGGCTGAGTTGCTTTCTACTAAACGATTAACCCCTGGAAAGGCAAAAGAGGCCATGTGCTGCTACGTGGCAGAAGCCAAAAAAGTACAACAGGACAAGTTCTGCCTTTGGGTTTTCATGCAAAGCAGCGATAACTTCACATAAGCAGAGTCACTCCTGGGTTATCCCAGGGACACGGAGCGGTTCTCTCCTGGCCCAGCATCACCAAGTTCATTCAGACCTGGCCTGAGGAGCAACGTGGGGCAGTTGCAGCCACGCAGTGAATCCCCACAGAGCTGCTGCTGCTCCAGGGGTGCCCAACCCTGCCAAGGGCAGCACACATTCAGCTTCCATGGCAGCCAACCAGTTTATTGCGTGTAGAAGACATCTCAGAACGGTGCTATCACCAACTTCAGAAGCTCTCCCCAGCTCTGCTAGGGTAGATTGTTTGGGTTATTGTATTTTTCATTTAATCTGATAGTTTCTTAGACCTTGCTCAGCCAAACATCTCAAGAAAGGATGAATGTGAGGTGCACAGCAGCTCCACCTATTCTAAAGAGTTGCTCTCTCACATCTCTACACAGCCATGGGGAAACCCTGCCATTGCCATGGATTTATCCATCTGCTTTGGAATTCTTTCCCCAGTTGTTAGCCTGGCAAAACCTGTCAGAACAGTTGAGGCAGAAGCAGAAGGATGTCCCTCATTTTGTAGCTTTGCAGCTGCTGTTGAAAATATTCCCGTATTCAACCTCTGCCTTGAAACTTGAAAACTACTCTCCTCTCGTGTGTTACCTGTGTTACAAATTGCACTTGGGGATCCCAGGCTGAGCTGAGGTTTACCTGCAGTGTAGCTGCTTAGGACAGCACTAACAGTATCATCTACTCATTCACCTTTTCTCATGTAATGAAATTAGTATATTGATAGGAACAATAAAGTATCAGCATCAAAAAGGCGGAAAGAGCACAATCTTTTGGGAAGAAAACAACTCAGTGTGTCCTTTCCTGTCATGGCAAAGCTTTTGGAAGTGTCTGGCATGATGTAGTGCCTCATTTTCCACCTTTTTCAGTTGCTCTCTCTTGCAGTGGACTCGAGCTCAAACGCAGCCAGTTTGTTCCAGCTGCTCTTGAACAGCCTGAGCACAAAGGTGCCTTGAGTCTGAGGCTGAAACAGAAGCCTCTGAACACTTCAGCTTTTTGACCCAGTGTTGCTTTCATGTGTTGAGGGGTTGTTTTGCAGAAAGCATCCCAGCTGATCTCCAAGGGAGGTTGCCAAAAAGCAGGAATTGGGGCTTCATGAACAACAGACAACACCTTTCAGACCCCGGAAAAGGATCCAGATTCTGTGAAACCCCCCAGATTTGACTAGTATGTCAAATATTCCCTGCTCACAACTGCCCAAGTTGCCAGAAATTCCAGAGGTCCACCAGGCTCCCCTCTGCCCCAGGAGCCATCAGGATCCACCCCAGCCCCTGTTGCTCACCTCATAGCTGTAGGTTTTTCCAACCAAAACTTTCCCCATGTCCAGTTCCTCAGAGTTGAGTTGGAGGCAGGGCCCGAGGCCTTCCCCTGTGAGGCACAGGGGCAGCCTGCTCTCACGGCCTGGGGAGAGATTTCCATTTCAGTAGAGTAATTCTTACTCTCTTATCCTGCTTTTTCCAGGCTGCCTCAGTGCTAGTCCCTGACTCTGAGATGGGTGAGACCAGCTCCTGATGCTCCAGGGGAAGAAATGGACCCTTCTCTCCCTCAGGAGATATGCCCTGGGGCTGGTTTCCAATTTCTAACCCACCCCTTGGGCTTGTTTCCTGTTTAGCCACCAGTTTGCACCCTGAAAATGCGATGCCGAGTTTAAAACATGATTTCTGTAGTGATAGGACAAGGAGTAATGGAGACAAATTGATAGAGGGGAATTTTAGGTTATATATAAAAAAGAAATTCTTCCCTGTGAGGGTGGTGAGACCCTGGCACAGGTTGCCCAGGGAAGTTGTGGCTGCCCTGTCCCTGGCAGTGTTCAAGGTCAGGTTGGATGGGGCTCTGAGCAACCTGGGCTAGTGGAAGGTGTCCCTGCCCATGGCAGGGGGTTTGGGACTAGATGATCTTTAAGGGCCATTCCAAGCCCTTATCATTCCATGATTCTGATTTCCTTCCCATGCACTTGGAGGAGCTTTGAAATCCATTCAGTGAAGGGATAAATCTTGCAAAGAGTTGGGCATTGCTGCCTGACTTCCAACTAAACTGGGGGGCAGTGGCCCAACAGCACAGGACTTTGTTGCCAAAGTCTTCAGCTTCCGCTGCTTTCTGACACTCAGCATCTTGTTCACAGAATGCCCCTGTGTTTGGTGACTGGTTTGGAACATGATTCTCATCTGGCCATGTCAACAAACAGAGATGCACAGTTTCACATGATGCACGACATCATAAGGAATGCCTTGGGAGCAGCTTTTTAAATCCATGCTTTCCTTCCACAGCTCTAACAATGGCAGTTGGTGGGCAGGAAGAGAGTTTGTTAGCATGAGCCCTGAGTAATTACTGTAGATGGCATTTGTTGAGTTATCCCTGCACAACTACTGTCTAAATAAAAAGCTGTTTCATGACATTTGTATCCATCAGCTTGGAGCAGGAAGGAAGGCAACAGAGTTGCTGGGTTAGGGATTGCAGCACCCTCCAGAATGGGAGCCTGGCTGCTGGAGGGCCATGGGCCTCCCACCTCTTTCTCATAGATGGGCAAACCCAGAGTATTCCCTAGATGGAAACCTGACAGCCATCTCCCACTTTAAGGTGAAAAACACTAAGCAGCACCATGCAGAGACAGGGGGGAAGGACAGGGGAACCTGAACCACGCTGTGCCCTGTGAGTGTTCCCTGCCCTGTGTGGGCACAACAAAGTCACCACCTCAGTGAGGGGGTGACTCGGGGTGGGGGGGCAATGATAAATGCTCCCAGAAAAGGACTTGACAGCACTCCTGGAAGCTGAGCACAGCAAGCCCAGTGGCCACCACCTGGACACACCTCAGCCTGAGAGCCAGAAGGTGACAATTCCCACGCAGGTAGAGAAGTAGGTGCTGGCCAGGGGTGGTCCTTCTGCAGACAGCCTGGGCTCAGTAGGGCTCAGCCACCTCTGGTCTGCCATTGTCTGGGCAGTGGGAGGTGATCCAGGCTCAGGGAGCACATTTCTACCTCAGCTCCTACCGCCTGATGATGGATCCATGTCATGAGGAGCCATCCTGGGGGTCAGTGCTCTAGAGGGGCTTAGTGCCCGTGCCCTAAAGCTGTTCTACTGTGTAGCTCTTTGGCCTTTGAGGAAGTACTGGCAAACCCATGGCATGAAAGCTTATCCATGCACTGCTTGGATTGTTCTGGGATCAGTGTCCTGAGCCCTGGCCTTGCATGGGAGACCACCAGGAAGCCGCAGGGACAGTGGACATGAGCCAGCGCTGCCCTGCTGACCTTGGACCCTTCCCAGCACTTCCACGGGAGCCCAGTGGGCTGGAAGAGTATTTGCACCTCCCCTTCACTGTGGGTGAGAGAAAGAGGAGAAGGAGCCGTACCTGAGATGGAACAGTAGGCCACTTTTCTATAGACTTGGGCTTCTCGGGGTTTAAAGAACACCTTGATTTCAGCTGAACAATGTGGCCCAACCTCTCCCTCCTAAAACAGAAAGAGACAGCAAATCATTTACCTTCCAGTATCACATTTCTTCTTTTCAATCTGTAAGCCTTTACTTAGAGCAAGGAGTGAACAACACTCCAAAAACAGCTCAACACAACCGCAGGATGTTCTTAATGCTCAGCTGATCAGCCCCCACGCTACAATATTCCTACTGCTCTGACACAAGCGCTTGGTTACATCGTGCTGCTGTCAGCTACAGTGGTGTGAAACTGCTGTTGTGCTGACACTGGTGGCTCTTGGCCTTAGATGGGCTATAGGAGTAACCAAGAAGAGAACATGATGCCCTTCCTTGGAAAGAAAAAACTTAGTTTAACTTGTTTTAAAAGAAAGCAGAGGCTGGGATTCTTGTAGGGTTTACTCCAAGACAAGGAGGGATTTTGCACTGTGCAGACAGCAGGGATTCCTCATCTCACGCTGTGCCAATACTCATACTCAGGGCTCTGGTTGATGGAAGGACATGGGGGTTTGCTTGCAGAAACAGAAAAAGATTTTCTGTCCCTGTGTGCAATAGAACTCAAAAAGTCCATTTCCAAGTCTTGTGTCCAGGCTCCCAGATGACACTAGAAGGGAGACTCAGACATGCTGTAAGTCCTGGTTACAGGGAGGGATTGGCATTTCCATGACCTTGGGCTGAATTTGGCCTCCTTTTCGCTTCAGGTCAATCTATGAACTGACAGTGCTCCAACACCCTCTGGGAAGCCCCACACATCCATCACATGTAAGCTGTGCCCCTTCCTACAGTAACCAACCCCTCTGGACATGCACTGCAAGGACACGCACCAAGCTCCCTTGATGTCGAGCCCTTGCAGCAGAGCTCAGCTTTAGGCAGGTTCCTGCTGCCTGCCAGGAGCCCACAGGGTAGCAATGCTTTTTGCAACAAGCTCTCCAGCCTCGCCAGAAACCTCATGTCTTCTCTTGGGGCACATCAAGCCAGCTGAGGTGGGGATCTGCCGAGTGACCTCATTCAGGGAGGGGGAGGAGGAGGAGGTTCTCAGCTATCACTTACCAAGGGCTCAATGGTGAAAACATCATCTGAGAACAGCATGGGGTCTGCTTGAATCTTTGCTGTCTCCTTCTCCAACTCACGGTCGTACAGGTCAAGCTCCTCATAGCGCTTCATCACAAGAGCCTTTGCTATCTCCTGGGGTGGCCGAGACAGATTGTGACACAGCCTGCAGCCACAGGGAGAAACAAATGCAGCAGGTCATTTAATAAGCCACTGATTTGCAGAGCTGAGTGTAAGTGCAGAAGCAGAAAGCACTCAGGGAGGAGCAGCAGCAGCTCCACAGCAAGGGGCTGAGCCCGAGCCACGGGCTCCCAAAGGGCTCAGAGGATCACTGGTTGGTCGCTCACAGGGCATGTGCTTTTACCGCACAGTTACAAGTTCGGGAGAGGTTTTAAAAGCCAGCAGCTCTCAAGAGAACCTCCTGGCTCAAAGCCACTGCCAAAACTGACGGAGAACCCACCAGTGACCTCAACTGACTCTTCCTACCACAGAGTTGCTTGGGGGAAACAGATAAAGATCAAGGAGCCCCCTCACTGCCTGCAGGGCTTCCCTGGCAAGGGGAGAAGAAGCTGGCTCTCAGCTGCAGGTTACCAGCATCACTCTTGGCTTCTTCCCTTTTGGACCTGCAGGGATAAGCTAACCCTGTGTGCCCTGTTCCCTACACTGCCTTCCACCAGAGCATCCCAGAGCACTTTCAAAGCCAATTGATGAATTCAGGCATGGCATCTCTTCAGTGACATTAAAGGTTTTATATGCATGAAAACAGAGGCCCTGAGAGGGGGGCATCTAGCCTTGAACCACCTTCTTTTTTCCTCCTTTTGGCCTTTTCTGCAGACCTTTGGCACAGTTAATCTCTCCATTACTTGGTAGCTGCAGCAGAAATCATTCTAGTGTTTTAAGATCACAACCAAGAGATGAGAAAGGAACAGCTGCTTCCCAGCTGGCAGATCACTGTTCCTCCCTCAGACTCCAGTCCCCTGGCCGTGAAGAACCTGCAGGTGGCAACTGGAGGGACAAGTAGAAGGCTCCATATGGAGCAAATTGAGGCAGTAGAGTATAAACAGGACAGCATCCTCACCCAGCCAAATTCAAACACAGTTAGAAAGGAAATACAGTCATGGATATTACCAGGTGCACACAGACAGAGCCTTGGGCAAACACTGTCACTGGCACCAAAAATACTGGCTATGGCTGGCTCCCTGCCCCAAAAATATTGGCTATGGCTGGCTCAATGTGCAGTGCATTCAGAAATGTTTCTCTGTGGCTGACCTGTAGTGCTGGGCATGAGGAGGGCATCCAGCCACTAAGATGGCAACACTCTGCTCAACCTCCATCAACAGACAGTAATTTCCCCATGACGTGCCAGAAGGCCCTGATGCTTTGCACCCCCACCTTCCACTGCCTTGTGTTATATAACAAGGGAATACCTGCCCGAGTGCAAGAAGCAGGGTCACAAATAGGACGATTGCTTTAGGGGGCACTCGCCTCGGAGGACCCCCAGAATGGACCCCTGACAACCACTGAACTAAGACCTGAGCACGTGGAATGGCAAAACCACTGCCACTCTCGCCTCCCATGCTAATGAGGGACTGTACAGAAGTAACTCACATAAATGGCCAGGAGACAGAGAAGTTAACTAAAAAAATAAACCTTTACTCTAATTAAAGGGAGAGTTCACTGAACAGACCTCAGGGAGGTCTCTCAACTCAGTGGAGGTTGCAGCTTCTTTTATCCCCTTTGCCCGGAGCACAGGTCCCTCCCCATTTCTCCATTGGCTGGGATACTCTGGAGTTACAGGCTGCCCAGCAGGCCTACTGTGTGTCCCCCATTATGTGCTGATTCGGTGGCTCTGGAGGTCACTGACATTGTTCAAGGTGGAGGCCACAGCACTTCAAAAGGGAGGACAGGGCCACATGATCCTCCCGTGCTGCTGGTTGGTCCCCCTGTCTCTGGGCAAACTGCCCCTCTCCGGAGCTGAGAACTGAACAACTTTGTCGCTTCTTACTGTGAGCTGTGACTGCCCTGCAAACTCTGCAGGAACACCTACTTGTTCCTAACACCCTAAAGCACTCAAAAGCACAAGCACCCCCTGAGGCCATAGGTTAGTTTTACCCTTGGGCAGTGCATGTCACTGCATCTTTCAGACCAACCTGATCTTCTGCGGATACTCCTCTGCCTCAGTAGCAAAAGCCTTCCACTGGAATCGGGCTGTGATGTTACTTCTGTTGTGGATGGCTGTGGTTCTGTGACTTGACAGTGTGAGATAAGTCTTGTCAAGTTCCAGAGAGTACTTGTCCAGCCCGATGTTGAAGTCCTTAGCTTTTCCAAGAAGTCTGGTGTGGGTATCTTCACCTGGAACAAAGCAAAGAGGAGTCTTTGCTCAGCTCACTCGCTAATGGAATTACAAGGAGCAGAGCAAACCACAGGTAACAGAAGAAAGTGTCCAGCCTTTAGCTGGATAAGTAATTCCACGGATCAGTACACTTACCAAATCCCAACAGCTGCGTGTGTACAGTGTGAGGATGTCCTGGACACCAGCTTAAGCATCTTATTTCTGCGTGTGTTTGTAGAGATTTGTCCCAAGGTGACAGTATTTACAGTGAAATTTGTCAGGTGTGCTCAGGTGACCCACTCAGATCCCAGGCAATTCTGCATCAAATTCATTCAGGTGACTCTAAGGAGCCCCACTCAGTCACAGCCCAGAGTTTCCTGAAGGCACCCCATGAGACTCCTGCCTCTCCCAATCCCTTGTTGCTGACAAGCAAAGATTCCTGGGGGCAGGTGTGAAGAAAGGGAGGTCCAGGGGAGCAAGGGAAGTGAAGCCCATGGCAGAAGGGGACTAAGGTGAGGAAACAAGACACGATATTCTACAACATTCAATATGACAAAGCACTAGAAAATCAACACCATGAAAGCCATCATCCCCTCCCTGTCCAAACCCATGGCCACATCAGTCTAGAAATATTTGATATCATTCTGATCTCAAACACCAAACTGAAACATTTGAAATGAAAGAAAGAAGAGCAGAGAGAAAGACTAAAAGTACAGAGCAGCTTTTATATGAAGACTGAATGGGGTTCCTGAACCTAGAAATCAAATGGGAGACAGATGGGAGAGGTTTGGAGAGCATGAATGGCCTGAGAAATGGGAATAAGGGACAATTTGTCACGATTTGTCATCCAACAGGAACCTGAGGGCCTGAAAATGTTCTTAGACAGAAACTACATGTATGTGTAGAGGGCAACATAGAAAAAGGGTCTGTGGCAAGACAACAGAGAAGCAGCTTAGGGGACAGAGGTGAGCAAGAGACACATTGCATTGGAGAGAGTTGGATGGAAAGCTCATGTCACAGACAGCACTGTCCAGGAATACAACTGCAGCCCTGCATATCCACACTGCAATGGAGAATCAAGGTTCCTTCTTCCTCCACTCAGCAACTCCCAGCAAAACAGGATTCCAAGATCTCATCCCTGTTTGAGGGCATCCACTTTATCAACCCCCTAAACACTAACTAGTTTTCACTTTTCTTTGCGGTAAAGCTGGGACGGGGCGGTGCTGCTGGAGGGGGAATTCAGGTGACTGGGACAGTGAGGAGTGCTGGTAGAGGACTGTGGTGGGGGTGCAGGATGGAGAACACCATGCTGGCACCAGGGTCCCCCCAGGGATGGACCAGCACACAGCAACACAGCACATCCAGGACAGGGACAGACTCAGCCTTGGCCCCTTCTTTGGTCACTTCTGAGCACTGAAACACACAGGGGTTTTGAAAGGAACAGTTCTACAAGTAGTTTGCAGAGCAAGTCTAACGTTATTCTGCTTAGAAGGGGCTTTGCTATTTGGAAGGACACAGGGTGAGTGCACCGTGCAGTGCCCAGCACTCACCTCTGTCGCAGTGCACTGCCAGGGATGTGGAATGGTGCCCGGTCTCCAGCGGGTGATATTCCACTGTCACTTGCATGGCTTCACCAACATCGAGGGTTCCGGTGGCTGGACCGACAGTGAAAGGGCTGCAAGACCAAGAGAGAGATCAGGACTCTTGGGGGAGGTTTGGGGACAATATTTGCAATCTAGGTCACTTCAGCTGACTTGTGCAAGCAAGAAGCAAAGCAACCACAGTCAGCAGAAGACAGACAGAACACACAGCATCAGAAATAGCTACTGACTCTCTTCGGAGGAGATGCAGCCCTCAGAAAATCCTGTCGGATGAAATGAACTCATCTCCCCCATACTCTGCATGGAGGCTCAAGGGTCTGACTGCCAGCAATCCCAGCAGAGAATGGTTCGGAAGAGCACAGAGAGGGTTAAGAGCTATTTGCATGCACATGACACTGACTGCCTCAGGAATGTCTCTTTTCATTCAAGAGATGCAAATGACAGGGCACTCCCGGTCCTGTGAGAGTACAGCCTAGGAATCAAGAGGGAGAATAAAGTCTTCCTTGAAGACCAGAGAATAATGAGTTTAATTTGCAGTGTGATTGTTTGGGGTTGTTTTTCTCTTTGTAAACATCCTGGTTTAGCCTAAGAATTTATCAGCTTTATCAGCATTTCAATGAAAGCTGCTGGAAGAAAAGGAGCAATGAAAACTCTGAAGGAGTGCAACTGCAAATTGGAGCAATACAGTGACCTGGACACAATACCCAAAAGGAGGGTCGGGTTTACAGCCTGAAGGATTCAATCCCAGCTAAATGAAGTGCCATTAAGAGCAGCACATCAAGGGAGCTGAACAGGAGGTTTCTGTGTATTCCCCAGCGATGCAGTCTGGGATTCTGGAGTGTCATCCAGGCTGGTAACTGTTTGCTTGGCCCGCCAGAGAAACAAGGGAAATAATTAGGCAAATGTGTTGGTGCAGTTTGGATTTAACAGGAGCAATTCCGCTTTGTCACCAGGTAAACAGCTCTTGCCTGACAGATACAAAAATCAGTGCTTTAATGCTTCGGGATAGCTCGGGTCAAAGGTGCTTCTGCCCAGTGGCTGCTGGGCTTTGTGCTCTTTGTACAGCCCCACTGAGAAAACAAAAGTTTAGTGCTTTGCTGATGGTTAATTTGTCACCTTAAAAACATTTCCTGGGGATTCTGATGATGATTAGAGAATGCAACACAAAAAAAAATAAGAAGAACAAGTGGAGCCGTGTGCAAGCTGAACTTTGTTCCTGTCAGTGGTGACAGTTGATGGAATTGCTGCCATTTCTGCTCCCTAAGGAGCTATTGCTGCAATTAGGGGCCTGACCCGGGCCCATTACCACCAGTGAGAACATCACTACTGGCTAATGGAGAAGGCTTGGGTCAGCAATGTTTTTGTGCTGGGCCTGAGACTTTGGAGAGAGAGGAGGAAAGACAAGTCCCACCAGCCCCAGAGCTGGATTACTTTCTGTGCTCCTGCATCTGCCCCGATGGGGATGCCAGGACTGCTGCAGGGCTCTGCTGGGGCTTGGGGCTTCATTGCCTGTGCTGGGAAAGGCATGGATTTTTTTTTCCTGTTCTTTTGCCAGAATTTTTGCCAGAACAGAGAAGCTACTAGTCAAGGGGCAACTCTTCAGCGCTACCTTCCCTCCTGTTCCTTCCTACTCCTGCCCCATGTCTATATACTCCTGCCCTCAGATGGCTGGATGGAGAATAACACTCCTGGTGCTGACTTCAGGGGATGCCTGAGAAAGAAGGGATCTTCCTGTTTTCAAATTCTCAGAAGAGGATCCAGCCAAGTTCAGGACTAAGAACCCAAATCAGTCCCTGCATCTCCTACATTTTCACATATTCCCCAAATTGCTCCTGTTTCTTATACACCTGTGCATATGCCTATGGGCAGATGGTAGATCAACAGGCATGAGAGGACCTTGAAGAAAGTTCCCAAGGCAGAATGAATGACAGTTTGACAAAAATTTAACACAGAACAAAATAAATTGAAAAAAAAAGCAGAAACACATGAACTTCAGAGTATTTTAAAAGAAATCTGAATGAAATCTGCTTGAAAATTTATACTGGTTTTCAAAGGTTCTTCATGAAACAGAAGAGATGACTGATGCCCTAAGCTGACAAGGGAAATCAGATCAGCTTTGACTAACACGAACTGCACAGGCTGTTTACAACACAGCTCATGGTGGGCATCTGATGAGAGGCCCCCTGATGTACCACACGCTTGAGGCCTCCTGGAGAATGGGTTTATTTGGCTGACAGTGGGAGGCAGTCATTTCAGAAGGTGTTGGTGCTCAGGAGGGTGCAGACCAACTACTAACGTGTTCCAGCAGTCCCTAGGAAATCTGGGAAAGACAAAGCTCAGGAGTTGCATCCTGCTTAAAACACTAGAAGCAACAGCAGACCCCACACGTCCTGCCCCTTTCCAGCTGTGGCTGCAGTGCAGCAGCTCGGATGCTCTGGTTCCTTTGGGATACTCTTTCCCAACTCTGCCATCACCCAAAGGTGTTTTGCACTAAGACAGATGAGCTGCTTTACCTCTCAGTGCTGAGGCTGTAACAGGTTTCCAGGTTCCCAGTGTTGTGAACCAGCAGAGTCTTCTGGGTGCTGTGGTTGACTGGACATGACGAGAAGTCCAGCTGGTCAGGGAAGTCCAAGACTGGGCGGGCACCAATGGCTCGGATTGGCACAAAGACCTTTTCCCTTTCACTGATGCAGACAAGCTGGTGGAAATGATCCTGCAGGAAAAGTAACTGGCACAGCATTGAGGGCATGGAGTGCCATCCTCATGGCAGAAGAAAAAGTGCTGTTTTCTATGACCCTTTGTGGGTGTGAATTGACCTCTTCCACCCCAAAAATGACCACTAATTCATACTAATAAAGGCTGGAGAACAGAGCATGTGAAAAAGCATCATTTTTGCTCCATTCCAATGGGAAAGAATAAAGGTCTCTGGATCTTTTTGTTCCTCTGGTATTTTCCATAATAAAACCCCTTCCACTGAGCCTAGAGATAGCTAAACATCAACACCCCTCCCTGTCATTTCCCTACTGTTCCATCTGCCTCTTCCCTTGTGAACGTTCAAGAACAGGCATGGAGGGAAAGCAAAGCCCTCTAGGCCCATCTGCAGGGCCTGGCAGCACCACACTGTGCTGAGGTGTGACCAGCTCCAGGCTGCCTGCCCCCAACCCAGAGCCGACCTCACAGCATGGGCTGGGCTATAACCAGTGTGCAACAAACGCCCTGGCTTTAGAGAGAACGTTCCTCCAAACTCACCTTGCTCCCCTCAGGGGTGAAAAGGATGTTTATAGTACAAAATGAGCCCGGTGGTATCTGATGGCACACACCATTGGGGCCAACCAACTTGAAATAAGGTGAGTTGTCCATAGTGACCTTCACCAGCTGAGTAACCTGAAGGAAAGACACAAAACGGTGATTTTGCCACTTGTGGAAACAGGAGGAGGCCTGGGTGTGCCCTGGTGACAGCCTTCCTTGACCATTTTCCCAAAGGACTTTTAGCTCTGGAGGTACAAGCACAGGATACACAAGGGTGAACTTGGATCCCTCTGCCTGGGCAAAGCAGCTCGGCCAGAGGCAGTAGGGCAGTGCCTGCTGGGAAGGAAGGTCAGGCACCAGCAGTATGGAGATAGAACACCTGAACCAAGTCATCCTCATTTTCAATAAGCCCAGAGAATCTACTTGCTTCTGCCTGCACACAGCCATGCAACCCTGTTCCAGAGGGAGAATGTGCTACCTGAAGGCAAACCAGCACATTGTCCTGAGGGAAGGAAGAAATTCTCTTCTAACAGACTGAGGTGGAGTGGGGAAGTCCAGCTGTAGGGACACAGTCATATGGGCACACCAGCAAGAGGAGACCAGATACTTGGCCTTACTGGAAAACTGAAGAGAAAAGGAGGAACACAGCAAGACAAAGAGACAAGCCCTGACACAATGAGATGGCAAAGAGAATTGAAATGGGCTGTAAAGAAGCAAGGAAGAAGCACAAGACACTGCCAGGAAAGGCTGGTGCAGAAGATGAGAGCAGTCAGCTTGCCAGAGTGATGGAAAGCCAGATGGCCCTGCAGGCTGTGCCTGTCAACTCTGGGCTCGAAAGGTTATTTTCTGCCTGGAGAAACATGAGCAGCACCGACTGACAGTGTGGTTTCATTATTAAAAGCCAATCTCAGCTCTCCAGGGGCTCTTGCTGCCTAGTGATTGTGGCCAGGCAGCTGCCAGTGCAGGCAAGCCAGACTGCTGGGCATTCCTGCAGCCACCCTACTGCCAGTTTCTGCCCTCAGGGGAACACAGGCACAGGGACAGCAAACAGGCATTTTCTAGCACATGGGTATCAACCCCTGAGCACCAAATCACATCTCACAATGTCTAAACCAGGTGATTTGGACTCCCTGCTGTCTATTCCCAACAGCTTGCCCTTGGCACAAGAGTCAGTTGAGAAACTGTTTCCCTGACTGAAATTCAAAAGGTCTCAGTTTTCCTCTTTACAGTGCAACACAATTGCTGACATTTTTCAACTTCTTCCTTCTCAGCTTTCTTGGGGAATTGCAAAACAATCACACTTTGTTCAAGTGAAGGTGGAAACCCTCAAGAGCACATTGCTCTGGATGTGCTGTAGTTCTGCAAAGGGAAAGCAGAGCACCATGTTGCCTTTGGAAAACCTGAGCAGAGCTGAATTAAGCTTGGCAGGAGCCTGAACTGGCATCTAAAGGCCTCCTGCTGCTTCTGCTAAATGAGTCCGATTCCAGGGCTGTTTTCAAACACATGTCCTGCAGTGCCAGTGCCACTAATCATAACTAGTCATCATCATGACTAATCATGATTCCAGCATAAAGTGGAGAAGACTCAACCCCTGAGCTTTGACTGCAAGCTGCACAGAGGCAGCTCAACAGGCTGAGAGAGGCGAGATGCCCGCCGGGAACCAAGATTAACCAAGGAGCCACAGTACGTGGTGGTGGACACTCGAGGGGAAGCATGAAAGCAGGTGAGAACTGCACAGCCTTCCCATCAATCCAGGGCTTTCAGGGGAAAGAAGCTCCTTTGGGTCAGATACCACCAAGGCACGGCCAAAATCAGGGAAGAATCCTCAGCACAGGAAAATTCCCACCATCTTGCAAATCCAAGGTGGTGAATCTGGATGTGCTACGGCTGATACTTGCTCTGCTGTACACCATGGGGGTTACAGTACTCTCCTCTTCTTCTAGCACAGTGTTAAAGCTCCACATCCCAGAACTTACCTTGTCTCTATTCCTCAGAAGCAGGGGCATTTCACAGACCTTGCCAAGGACATAGTTCTGAAACACCAGCTCGGATGGGACAGGCTCAAGCAAGGTCTTGTTCCGGTCAGGTGATGAGAACTGGAGAGGCAAGAGAGAGCAGGGAGAGGTTCAGCTGCTGGGAGGAAGGTTCGTGAATGACTCTTCTCTGTTGATCCCTGGTGAAGTACAGGCTCTTGGTGTAACTAGGTCTGCCCAGCTGCCACTGGGGGAACAGTAGCTCACCCACCTCTGCTCTGAGCTGATCAAAAGCTGCTAGACCACACTGAGCAGGCGCAAGCTCAGCAGCTCTTTTGGCAGGAGTTTCTCCAGCTTTCCTTCTCCAAAATGCCGGGCAGCGCTTACCTCCAGCACAGCCCTGTGCTAATGGGGTCCCAGAGCTCTGGGCACTGACTGAGCACCCAAGCAGTAAGTGAAACTCAAGAATTTACATCAGACTTCATAGGAAACAAATTTTGGATGACATTTACTCTGAGGCAGGAAGACTGAGGCCCACACAACTCCAGACTCTAGAGCTGAGACACCAGTAAGAAGAGAACAGCACCAGAGTAGGTTAAGGGCAAAAAGAAAGTACCACAGTAGATAGGAATAGGACAAATGAGGTGAATGCTGGATGAGGATAAGGTTCAGCTCTTTTCTTAGCAGTGCTGGGCAACTTGAGTAAGACTGGAGTTGTGTTAAATTGGGAGTAACTACCTCAGCCTTCAAAGGCCAGCGCTACCACTGTGCAGGGAATCCTATGACCCCCAGCATTTGTCAGTGACAACACCAAAGCAAGAGGTGGCTCTTTCAGTGGGACAATGGAAAATGGCAAGCTGGTGCCCTTTTGTCCTGCCCCAGCCTTCCCCTGTATCATGCCTTCACCATGGCAGCTAAACTCCAGCAAACCCCACCAGCTTCAGCAGAAATTATTTGTGTTGGCTTAGCACAGATCAGGACTCCAGCATCTCACTAGGAGAAAATGTTTTGCCTTTGCCCCAGCAGAAGGAACTCCACCACCACTAGCAGTTTGCAACAACAACAGGACCTGGACACTGAGGTGTTTCAATAAGCTGGAGGCAAGGCATGCAGCCTCTTCAAATGTCACATCAAACAGCAAGGAAAAGGGCAGGAAAAGGCTACCTTGTAATTGGAGTTCTCATTTGTGCCTAGGTGCAGGGCAATCTTGGGCAGTTTTGCCTCCTGAGGGCTGTCCGGCTTCTTCCTGAACCTGAGACCCACCTTCCTGAAGTCAAAAATGGTCAGCTGAAAGGAAAAAAAAACAGCAAGAGCCTCAGAAATGCCCTTGTTCAGAGAGGCTTTACTTGTTCAAGTGGCTCTGATGAATTATTTGTGATCACAGCCACCAGGACAGTCCTGGAAGTCCTGGAAGTTACCTGCTGAAATATTTAACATCAGAAAATTAATGGTATAGAGCAGAACACACTTGCTTTAACCAGGTGGCTCTGCCTCATTAGCTTCTCCATGGTTTGATGTGACACATGTGGGGACTTCTGCTCTTGGGGAATTTGTGTCCTCTTTACTTCCACTGGATTGAGCCAGTGACCTTTGCAGAGAGTGGCAAACTCCCCTAATTCCATCCTTGCCCAAGGCTCACAACCCCCCGTGTGTGAAGATCTCAGCGCTGGCTGAGTGTGAGGGAAGCAGAAAAGCGGCATTGTGCCAAGACCGAGGTGCAGAGCAATAGGTCCATAGTTCTCTCTTTGTAATTAGCACGGGGTTTGTCTCTGTCTGGCCTCACAGTCCCATCCACAGAAGAATACAGAGAGATGTCCTTGACAGAGCCTCAGCACTGGGTCACCCCCAGTCAAGTGAGCTCCAGGCAACAAAGGGGACGTTTGTGGGTGGGAAGGAGGACTTGCCCCAATTCCACTGCTGTGTGCAGAGCTGGATCTGTGCTCCATGCAGGAGATGAGACGGAACCTGTTCCAGGGGGGACCAGCCACCTCTCTCAAGGCTTCAGGCAGCATTTGAGCCGCCCACTACATGCCCAGGTGCCTGGAGGGCAGGTGTGGTCAGAGCAGCACAGTGAGTTTGCCAACCTGACAGAAGGAATTCCTGCCCACACACAGGGGACAGAAAGAAGCACAAGCTCATGTTCAGTTTTACATTGGTTTAACTTGGCTCCAGTGGCACAGCCAGGCAAGACTCTGGACTGTCCCTGATGCACCATGACAGCCCCTGCCAACAGAAGCACAGCCCTAAGAGCTGGGGAGGGGGTCTGTAGCTCCACGGTGCTGTGGACAGCAGGAGGGGCTGGGAGAAGAGGGACACGGGAGGAGTTTCCAGCCTTAACACAGCTCCTGGTCACAGCAGGTACTTACACGCTCAGGCTTCTCAGCCTCTCTTGGCCCTAGAGGACGAGCTAGCACCTCTCTCCTCTGGAATCCAGAATCCATTCTGAAGGATGTTGTGGGTGGATAAGTCCTACCAGTGACTGTGTCTCAGCTCACCTGGAAGGAGCAACAATGGAATGCTGAAAATCCAGAATCCCATTCCTGGCAGACCCAAAAGATACAGTGGTCCTGCAAATTTTATATTATTTGAAAGTAGCTAAATGCTTGTTTGGCATAAGTAGTTAGAATTGTTAGGCTGGAAGTTGGACTTTATTTGAACTATATGGCTATGTTGTGTAATTCAAAGATGGATCATAGTGAAACCTGGAGCTAACATTCTGAACATTAATAATAGTTAGAAGAGACAAAGCTGTAGCTTAAATATTACTTAAAAATTAATAGCTAGAGTGGACAGCCCATAGCTGGTGGTATAGGAACTGTAACAACCTCCTCTTCTCTAGGCCAGCCAAGCCCAACTCCCTCAGCCACTCCTCACAAGACTTACCTCTAGACTCTGCATCAGCTGTGTTCCCCCTCCCTGGACCAAGTTCGGGGAGGGAGAATCTTTGCTGCAGTGAAGGTCTCAGAACCAGACACAGTACTTTTGGCTGTTGAGAAATGCAAATGGATTTGATGTGATTATTTCACTGAACTCAAGGGTAACTTTTGATAGGTACCTTTGTACCCGTAAATATAGATGTTCCCATCTCTGTACCTGCGTGTGTGTGAATTGATCATGTGTACCTTTGTACACATAAATATAGATGTTCCCATCTCTGTGCCTGCGTGTGTGTGAATTGATCATGATCTATGTAGTAAGCTACAAGAGTGAACCTTGCCATCAAACTTTGCTAGGTCACTGAGGAGACACCATTAAAGGGACATGAGCCATTATAAATGCAACATATGGGGGAGTAGGACCACGTCAGACTTTATCCTAGTGGCACTTCTTCTCCAGCATCCCTATCCTACAAGAAGCTATGGGTAAACAATCACCAGCCTGACAACCACCTCTCCCTGTTTGTGTCGTGCAAGAAAGGGAAAGAAGAGAAGACAACTCCAGAAAGTGGGTCTCAAGCACTGACGAAACTCAAACGTGAACATTTACTTTGGACTAGAAACACGAGAACATGACACTGTCTTATGGACACCAGGACATGCTGCAGCAAGAGATTTAAAGCTGGAAATTACCATCTAATGGGGAATGGGACATTAATCTGGATTTCAGTGATTTATTACTTGGTCTTGAGAATAACTGGATTACTTGTGCCAGTTTTCTAACTGCAGTTTCATTTCACTTCAAATGAAGCCTGTCCATTATGCCCACACTGCTGTTTACAGAGGGCTTCCACTCTCCACGCCCCCATCCAGGCTAGCAGCTTCCCCTGCCCTCTAGTCCTGGCTGCTCTTCCATAGCCCCACGGTTCCACTTCTATAAAGCCTACAGGGATCTGCCTGCCAGACTCAGGGGAAGGAGCAGAACTCAGAAATCAGTCCCAGCTCTCTGCAGGGACAGGATAAAGCACAGCTCCAGCCCACCACCGCTGTCCCGTGGGGGGAGATCTTCATCTTCCCCACCTCAGACAGCCCTTTACCCAGCCCACAAGTTAAGGAAGGATCTTAATTCCCCCTCTGCTCCAGGCTCAAGGCACAGACAGCTCTGGCCCCTCAGCTTTGTGTTCAGAGCACAAACGGCCTGAGCCTGGGCCGAGGAACAAGCTGTGCCGGGACACAGCAGCTGAGGCCACCTAGGGAAGCAATGAATTAATATTCCCAGGGCTGGGGAAAAATTCCTGACATGTCTCAGGAAAACCAGGTCTATAACAGCAGGGTGTCAAGCTGAACATCATCAAGGATATCGAAGCTTTACCTTCCAATAAAGGACACGAGTGATCTTCAAAGGCAGTTCTCTGCAAGGGCTCAGTTGGTGAAGAGCCCAGTCAGTCTTTCCCTTTCAACGAACTGCAAGATCGACTTTTCGGAGAGACAATCTCTCCAAGGATTCGCTTGGCGAAGCGCTCAGTGTCGCTGCCGGAAGGAGCTCAGGCCGCTGGGAACAGGGTAGGGTGAGAGGGAATCGGGAACTGCGGGTGTTGCCGCGCCAGCACCAGCGCGACAGTCGCTGTTACCGCGTTCCCGGTTGCCAGGCAACGGATGGAAGCTGGAAGGGAGGC